GGGGGCGGGGAGGGGGGGGCAGGACAGAGCTGGCAGGACTGACAGGCTCAGCGGGCAGGCAACCCCGATACACTCAGGTAGGATGGAAGGGAAGATCCTGGAAGAGGGAAGGCGGGCCAGTTGACACTCTCCATTGCAAGCGTGAAGAGGATGCATGGTTTTTACATCAAGCCCTCCATAGTTCCTTTGCTGAGGACCCCCTTGTTGGATCAGTGGCGCCAATCAAGGGCATGTCTGGAAGTGTGAGAGTGGGTAGGAGCGGTACCCAAAAAATGGTGCCCATGAGAGAATCACCTCTTTGCAAAATGGCTGCCTGTTGGTCCAGCTAGACACAAAACACCTGTTTACCAGAAGTAGCCCCCTAGGAAGCTTTCTACTCCCCCCCCAACAGAGACATTGGTGGGCCCCAAAAGCATGTTTGTAAGTAGGTAGGAAACCAGAGGCTACGGCTCTCTTAGCTTGACAGTCTCCTATTTCATCAGTTTTTATTAAACATCACTCCAGGTTTTCAAGCCAAGGTTGAATAGCCATTTGTCTGGGATGGACTGAGGATTCCTGCCTAGGTCAGGAGGTTGGACTAGAAGACCTCCAAGGTCCCTTCCAACCTTAGGAGTCTATGATTCTATGACCTCCAAGGTCCCTTCCAACCTTAGGAGTCTATGATTCTATGACCTCCAAGATCCCTTCCACCCCTAGGAGTCTATGATTCTATGACCTCCAAGGTGCCCTCCAACCCTAGGAGTCTATGATTCTATGACGTCCAGGGTCCCCTCCAACCCTGTGATTCTTTAAAACCACCTTTGGACAAGTCAGAGGGGAAAGGAGCATGGAGGGTATGAAGAGAGGTGTCCAGGGTACTGTGACATCTACTCCTGGTCTTCAGTTTACTTTGGACCCGGGGTTTTGAAGATGCTGTTCTGTGTTTCCTTACAATTATCTCATATTTTATCCCATTCTGTCTTCAGAAGCTATTTTATGAGGAAGAATCCCCATCAAGGTCAAAACAATATGCTAATCCAGGCTCAGGCCAAATGCTGGAAACTCTATGTTCAAGGGACACTTTGTCAGCACGTAGTCAAGTCTGGAAGCAAGTAGAACAGGATCTACAGATTTTGCTTCTCCAAGAGCAAAATTCCTCAACAGATGGCCTGAGATGTGCTGCAAATTCAAGAAGCGACAGTGACACTTCCTATCCACTTGAACATTCATCCAAAAGATATGGAGGGACCAGATCTACATATCTTGCTTCATGAAGTTCTCAACAGTCCCGTATCTAACGGGACACCCTCTTCTCCTTCCTGTACCATTTTTAAGCAGATGGCGACAAGTTGTTCCTTGTTCAAACAGAGGTTGCTGAGCTATCTGTCTGGGAAGCTTTAATCCCATTTGGGATTAAGAGGGAAACCCCCAATTTCTGAAGGACAGCAGAAACTTGAGAACAAACACATAAATAAAAAGAATAATTCCTGCCCCAAGCATGGGTAGAACTGAATGGCATCCTTCCAAAACTTTTAAATCATTATTACGATCCAAGATGAGAGTTTATTGGGAAAAAAAAAAGATCTGATTTCACTTAATGAGATATAATTTACTAAGGGGGAAGTTTAAAATATGAATTATAAAATTAAATTAAAATTAGTTGGAGACATCAGCTGTTGTAATGTCTTCACCGTGGCCAGACAATAGAGGCTGACACGCCTTGTGAGTATCTGATGGTAGCAGTTTGGTGAAAACTCATCGGTCCAAATTTACTACTCTATCTTCCCCATCTTCCCCCTGGACCAAAAAAGGGAACGAGGGGATCAAAATGAAAATCAAAAATATTTAATCAAAAATAACTTTTAGAGTGGGCTCCAGCTGCAGACAAATCTACGTTGGAATACATATCCACCAATCCCTGTTCTGAACTGCGATCAGTATAAATATTTACCCAGTTGGCTTACTTTTCAATGGACGCAAATGGGACACCTCTCCAGCCCAGTCCTAACCATGTTGGCTTCAGACAGGAGCTCCACTGAGTTCAATCCATTGCATTTTGGAGTAATCTGAAGTTCAGCATCAGAGCTTTAAATCTCAGAGCAGAAACCCCCAGGCACATTCAAGGTTTTTACCTCTCAGGACTGTGAGTTTGGCGTTGACGGTGATTTCTGCTACAGAATTCTGGGCGACACATTCGTAAATGTTTTCGTCTCTGGGGGTGCGGAGGGGCTGTATCCTCAAGACCGCTCCAGAGCCTTCATCAAATTCGATGGTCTGAATTGGGGAGAGATGGAGGAAGAAGGTTCAATTAGAGGAGAAAGGCATTTAGAGAGGGTGTTCAAGCGTGCCCATCGGGCGTCTGTGGACCTTTCTCCCCGTTCTTCTGTGACTCAGACTGAAAAAATAAACAGGGAAAGGGGAAAACCACAACGCCAAAAGCTCAAAGTGGGTGCCAGATACCATTTCCCCTTTTCTTGCAATTTTCGGTTCTCTTAACACAGCAGCTCCTCCCTAGCAAGGAGTCGTGTTTGGCCAGCCAGGCCAGCCAGCCAGCCAGCCAAGAAACTAACTTTGCACCAAGATAATAAGGAAGGTCAGTTATTATTCCTGGAAGGATAGAATGGAAGGTTGGAAGGGATCTTGGAGGTCACCCAGTTCAACCCCCACTCCAGCACAGGAATTCATCCTCTCTGATTCAAAAGATAAATTCTGAGGTTGACTTTGATCGCCGACCTTGTTCCCCAATGGCTGCAACTTCCATCTCTTGTCCGAGGGGCCTAGGATGGAAATGTCAAATGGGACGAGCTGTGAAACTCTCTGCTTTGAACCACAGTGACATTTCCATTCTCCCCGGAAGTCTCCAAACAGCAGTGAAATTTCCAATCGCTGCAGGTTTTCACAGGGGGGGGGGTGTCTGGCTGGATACTTCTGGGGGTTAATTGATGCCTACATGGGGGGATTAGATGCCAAGATCCCTTCCAACACATAATGCTTTATGATTCTAAGGGAAATAAAGGATTCCCAGAACTGGTGATATTTTTTCTCTCCTTCTTCAAAGTAAAAATGATCGCTCTGGACCATCCTGGGAGGGGTAACAAGCAAAACCCTGACACCCTCGTTCTGTGAGCAGATTCACTCCCCAAGCGATCTGTATGTGTGTGAACGTGTAGTCACGCACGGCATCCTTAATTTTGGCTTTGGCACTGGAGGAAAGAGGAAATCTGGCTGTAGTGAAATTAAAATCACAAAGATGCCCCAAAGCGGAGCATTTTGTTTAATATCTATATACCTACATTAATGAATCAACGGCTTCTGGTGCCAAGAGAAACTCCCAATTAAATAAAAGTTAATTTTAAAAAATGCAATACCATCCCATAAATGTTCAATGTGCTGCAGAGTCACCAACGCTCTTGAGGGATGCTGGACTACGCTGCTCAATGTGCGTGAGATGGGATGATTTAGCGAGATTTTGACTATTTAAAGTTCAGTGTTATTTTTAGGGCAATCCTGGCGTGTTGCGAGTCTGCAACTGCTGTGCGACAGCCCCCTGACAAAGATTGCCAACTCTGATCTCCACGAATAAAATACTGTAATACCTAAGTTTGCCTTTCTTCTGTGCATTCAAAACAGACCCATCTAATAGCAAGTTTCTGATCTGGTTTTTCTGATTCTGCACCACATTTCTGAAAGCATGGGATCCTTTGCTCCGGCGACTTGAGTGCACAGAAGGTTGCTGGCAAGTGTAAGCCTCTCCACAGGAATAGGAACGTGGACAGTGTTCAAAAGATGTGAGGAAAAAAAATTAAAGCACTTTTCATCACACACAGGAGACCCGGAGCTCTGAGTGAGATGCCTTTTTCTCACTGGTGGATCTATCTGGCAGGAATATTGAGCAACAGCGACCAGTGGAAGGTGGGAATGAGAAAAAAAAAATCTACTGGTTTCCATTTTAAAGTAAAGTCATCTAATTATTCTAACTATAAGCGCATAATCAAAGCGCTCGTCCTGCAGGGTTTTTGCTCCTCTGAATGTCACAAGGTGGCTCTCCCTTTTAAAAAATGAGGTGTAGAAAAAGGCAGGCCATCCACCCGAACGTGGACATACTGTACCGAAATGCACAGATAGGGCCACGAGTGCAAAGCTGCAGATCTTAAGGCAAAGTGCGCACGGAGCGATTATACTGATCAATGCGCATGACTTCTTACGCTAATCTCTTTTTAGAGACATCACATACCGAGGCACGCCTTGGAAGAACAATATTGGGGATGGGAACGCCGAGGAAGAGAATATGAAATCGGCAGAAGATTCCACACCGGGGGCGTAAGAGGAATTTAGACAGCATGCGCTGGGTGCGCTCACAAAATGCAGCCATGAGAGGCTGATCTGTTTACAAAATAGCTGTCGGGATGTGCGTGGCTCCTCTCAAAACGCCCATCTGTCAGAAGTCGAGTTAGGTGTGCTCCAGAGAGATGGGTACCTTTGTGAGGCTCAAAAGCAGTGCTGCAATAAACAGGCCAGCTTTCTAGGTAGGGCAGTGTGTGTGTGCGTGCCTGTGTAGACCTATATGCCTCCTGCCCTTCTCTCTCTATATAAATGATTAAAGCAACAATATTTGCATCTCGCATCTTCCCAAGTATCTGTATATGTGTGTGTGTGTGTATGTGTACGTGATTTGTGTGTGTCTGTGTGTGTAGGTGTGTTTATATACATTTATAAAAAAACACTATGTATCTGGCCAGTTTCCCAGGGGTCTGGGGTGTGTGCACATGTGTGTATCTGTGTATGTCCATCCATCCCTCTTTGTATCCAGCCAGTTTCGCGTGTGTGTGTGTGTGTGTGTGTGTGTGTAATGGTATGTGGGAAAGACCTTGGGAGATAGGACAAAGAGATGCTGCCAAGAGAACAGTCAGATAAGAGAGGGCACAGCCTGCAGCTGCAAAGTGGGTGGGGCAAGAAGGGACCCTCCCTAGTTTCTCAGGTTGTAAAGGATATGTGGTGGGGGAAGAATTGGACTTTGGGACTTGAAAGATTGATGTTGGCTTTGCGGGGTAAACCAGATAGGAACCACAAGCAGATGAGCGAATTCTGCTTTATTGTAAAGCTACATTGACAGAATCTTGCGAGTCTGAAAGTACATTTCTGCCCC